TATTATTTTTACTACTTTTATTTTAAAGTAAATTATAGGCAACATGACATTTCACCCCAGTAATTAAATAAGTATGTATCTCTTCAAAGTGGGGATATTTTTCTACATCATCATAAACCATTGTTACACTTAACAAATTTAACAATAATCTCCAGAGATCTGTTAACACTTTTAGTTCTAAGTTCTGACTGAGGAGTCTGAATAATATTTTTACTTGATAATAGATTTATGGCATAAGCAAGAAAAAAGAAAAAACTAAGAAGTGGACTTAGAGAACAGGAGTCTAGGAGTGTGGTATTGGTGGAACACAATTCACATCTGTTTAGGTTACCATCAAAAATGATTTCAAGTGTCTGGGATTTAGGAACTCTGGGTTCTAAGTAGTTAGCCACAAATAGTACCAATATTCATAATACCTTAATATCTAGAAAGCACTTTTACAGAAAACAAAGGCCATATTTCAATACACCACCACCAAATAGGAGAATGCATACCAAAGAATTGTTAAGAAATTGGTCTTAAAAAAAGAAAAAAGCACAGTGAGAGAAAACAAGGTATACCAAACCTCTAAGAAGCCTACAACCAGACCTCTCCACTACTCCCACTCTGGGTTCTAAGTGTACCTTTGCATTTGCTGGTTGATTTTGGATGAGAAAATTTCTTCAGCTGTTTTATGTATTTAAAATAGGAATAGCCTTATATTTCGTGACATCGTGATGTTTTGAAAAAAATGTACTTTATGTTCACAAAGGTAATCTATAATTGCATTAAATTGCTAATGATAGGCCTGAAAGAATAATTTTTCATGAATAGAATATCACTTAAATTTATCTTTTACAAGGATTGAATCAGAGTACTTAGTTTTAGTTCATATGTAGTCTTTATCAGCTAGTTCATGTTGCCTTCATGTTCAGATATACATTATATAAATGATTTGCTTTTCTTTATTTTAGGTTGTCTTATCAAAGTTTGTTAGGCAAATGGGTGACCTGTTGCCTCCCACTATTTATATTCCTTATTTGAAAATGCTCCAGGGGTTGGCCAGTGGGCCCCAGTGTGCCCACTACTGTTTCAGCCTGCTCAAAGTCAATGGTAGTAGTCATGGTAAGGAAAATCTCAATGTTGTTAAAATTCATCCTTATACTCTTAAGTTCAGTATCTCACTGTGTATTAAATAATACTGGCTATTTGTGCTGGGTTCTGCCAGAGGTATAAATTATTTTTATGGTAATAAGGGGAAAGAAGCACACTGGTGGCTTTATGCATAGTGATGCCTTGATTATGGTCTCACAGATTGGGGAATTTTGCCATTCTCCTTTATAAAATACAGCTTAACAAGTCAGAATTAATATATATAAATTTTCAAGAACATATCTGGTGCACAAACCAAAGTATATAACCTCGCCACATAAATTTGATTTCTTTAATTTATCTTCATACTTGTTTTCTAAATATCTGTATTTAGAGTTTTTCTCTTGACCCTCTCCCAATTTCCTCATTTAATTTTCAGACTTAGGTCTAGTAAAACTAAAAACACTGCAAAAGGGGAAAAAAATTAAACATCTGCTCTGTTAGATACTGATTATTTTCATTTTTACATGTGAAGAAACAGGTTTAGATAAGTAATTTACTCAAGGTTACAGGTAGTTGGGAAGCCATGATAGAACTGAGATTTGCCTGGCTCTAAAGCCAGTGTTTTGATTACTCTGTCAAGGCCTACCTGTGTGGTATGCTCTGCTTTGGTTTCCAGTGCTTGGTATGTAATGGAATAGTGTAATTTATAAATCTAGACCGTGTTTATCTCTTTGGGAATTCAGACTCAACATTTGTGAATTATTCTGTGGGAAAAAGCAGTCCTAGATAGTTACATGACAGCATAGAGAACTCTCCTGAATATAAAATAGATAACTGACATCTGAAACTAATTTCCCTTTACTTTAACATGGATACCATCCCTTTCTTAAAAATTAATCCGGAGGAAAAACTAATCCTGAGTTCTAGCTCACATATTCTAACCCATTTCCAACATACTACTTATCTAGGATAAAGACTGCCTTTGTGCTAAGACAAAGGCAAACAAAGTTTATTATTTTTTGTGGTGTTTTTTTTTTTTTTTTTTTTCCTTGAGACAATCTTGTTCTGTTGCCCAGGCTGGAGTGCAGTGGTGCGATCATTGCTTACTGCAGCCTTGAACTCCTGGGCTCATGTGATCCTCCCACTTCAGTTAGGACTACAGGCATGAACCACCATGCCTGGCTAATTTTTAAAATTTTTGTAGAGATAGGGGTCTCACTATGTTGCCCAGGCCAGTCTGGAACTCCTGGCCTCAAGTGACCCTCCTGACTTGGCCTCCCAAAGTGCTGGGATTACAGACATGAGACGTTGCATCTGGCCCCAAAGTTTTTTGTTTTAAATTAGTTTTCTCTTCATTTCTAAGCAAATTCCTGGCCCGTTTTGAAAGAAAATTCTGTGCTATCTTTTTTTATAGTTGAAAATATTCAGGGAGCAGGTGGCAGTCCTGTTTCTTGGGAACATTTCTTTCATTC